CAGCCAGGGCTGCACCCAAGATGAACCAAAATGGTCACAAAATGCACGAGCGCTCACGGGGTCTCTCCCTGGGATCAGTTCTGCTCCATTTGCTTATTAGGGTTAATTGTCCAATTACAGCTTTAGGTTATGAAGTCCCATCCTTCTTGTTTGTCTCTCTTCATTCCTTGTTGTTTGTGCTCTTGGGCTGAGATTTGGATCAGCTGTCCTTGGTGCCCAGCTGGAGCAGGAATTGTTTTGTCTCCCTGCTCTGTGAAGAAAGCTCACCATCCCTAATATGAAGCCCAGACCCACACACTAAAGCAGGAGAGAACCTGAAAAATATAAAAGTTAAAACCTGAGGCATCAAGTTCTTGCTGAGAAGGTGCCACTGGTGCATCAGGCCATTGTCACCTGGTGTGACAGTCGTGGCTCTGCTCTGGTTCTGCTGGGTCTGTGCTGGCTCTAACACCCCCAGCGTGGCTCCTGTGCTGGGTCACCTTGCAGGGAGGTGTCCAGAGCCCAGCCAGCCCTGGGACAGTGACATTGGAGGTGCCACTGCACCAGGATAATCCCATTGCCTTTCCTCTGTCGTAAAATCACATCAGGCTTTGGCAGCTGTTCAGGTGCAGACAAATGAAATAAACTGCTCAGAATTCATCGTGGGAAGGAACAGAAAATGAGTAACAGGACCTTCCCTTCATCTCCACAAATGGCCCAGCTCTGGATGTAACCCCAACCCCTCTGGAATCATTTTTCTCTCTCCATCAGCAGGAATTTGAAGATCTCCTGCACTTGGGTGATTTAAAAACCTCAGTCCAAGCTCCCTGCAGCGACCCAGGGCAGTGGGGGGTTAATGCTGCTCCCCCCAAAGCTGCTGTGCCTCCCCTCCTGGAGCAAGATCTGAAATGTGCAGGCAGCTCAGTGAAGCAGAATTTTAATCTGAGATCTGTTTTTCAAGTCTGATTTTAAGATCCCATGCAGGTCAGGGTTGTCTGATTCTTCACAGTTCATTAAGTAGAGAGCAGCTCGTGGTAGAGATTGACTTTTAAAAATGATGGATTTTTATTTATAGCAGAGTTATACTCATTAATTTTAAAGGATGGAAGCATAAAAGCAGGAATGGGTTCATTAAAAAAAAAAAAAGTGGCATTGGTAATTTAATTAAATTGGGGGTTTGAGTATCATTACAAAAAATGAAATGTTAGTTCTGGGCTGCTTTTCCACCCGCTTGGATTTGACAGCAGCCCCTGCTCCCAGAACCTGCCTGGGCAGGAAAATTTCCTGGTGGAACCTCCCAGCTCCAGGGGCTTTGGGGGAGGATGGAAATAACGAGTTTGGGGGCAAGAAATGGTGTCAGGAGCTGGGATCTGCCCCTCCTGGTGTGCAGGGAGGGATGGGAGGGCTGGAGCCCCAAAAACTGGGCTTGGGAACACTCTGTGTGTGAGCAGTGATCAGAGGGATGGCTGAAAAACCCCAAAACTGGGCTTGGGGACACTCAGGTGTGAGCAGAGATCAGAGGGACAGCAAAACCCCCCCTGAAAATCCCCAAAATCTGAGCTTTGGGACACTCTGTGTGTGACCAGAGCTTGCAGGTGCAGCAGAAATCCCCAAATCTGGGCTTGGGGAACTTCTGTGTGAGCAGAGCTCCAGGAACAGCTGAAAAACCCCAAATCTGGGCTTGGGGAACCTCTGTGTGAGCAGAGCTCGTGGGCACAGCACAAAACCCCAACTCTGGGCTTGGGGACACTCAGGTGTGAGCAGAGCTCCAGGAACAGCTGAAAAACCCCAAATCTGGGCTTGGGGAACCTCTGTGTGAGCAGAGCTCGTGGAAACAGCACAAAACCCCAAACCTGCCTGAAGCAGCTCAGGAGTGGACCTGAACATGCCATTTACATAAATCCCATTCCAGGTGATGTTTCAGTGCAGAATTTCCAGGGCTGGGCTCACCACAGACCCAGGTGGTCTCTCTGGGAGCCGGGAACTGCTCCTGTGTGCATTTGGGATTAACCCTTCATTCCCCTCCTGTCAGGGAGGAACATCCCCCTCCCCATCCCAAAGCAGGATTTCCCTCAGCACTGGGGGTTTATGTCCCATTTCCCCATGTGAAAAATGTGTATTTTATGATTGGCTTTTCACAAATATTCAAATGAATATTGTATGTGTTATGTTAGAAAGTGATGCTGGATTAATTTTTTTAAGTAGTGTGGTAAATATAGATTTAGGTTAAATATAATGTTAAAATAGGAACTATGTATGTGGGATATTTTTTTAAAGAAAGGAATGAGGTACTCACACCAGATAGCAGCCACAGGACACCTAAATCTTTCAGAGAAAAAGAATTTATTGCCCAATTATCAGAAGAAACGAACTTCTTCCCACCTTGCTCAGCCCTGAAGATGCTGTCAGGATTCAGAGGAAGAAGTTGACACTGACCAGACAGAATCCTTTGTTTGAATGGAATTTATGCATCATGGATGAGATGTATGAATATGCAACAGGCTATTGCTTTTAAGGGTTAATCCTCTGTTAACGTGGGTCCTTTTTCGGGCTTATTTTGCCCAGAAAAGGTACCCGGACTGCCCCTAACTCTTTGTTTTTATAGTCTGATATTGTCCTAATCTCAATTGTCCAAATTTTTACTACTCTAATTATATTACTATTTTAATAACCATTTTACTACCATTAAACTTTTAAAATTCTAAGAACAAGTGATTGGCATTTCTCACACCCCAGCTCTGCCTGGGTTTTATCCCTCTCTGTGTGTGCCAGGACATTATTTTCCTTTTCCTCTCCCCCTTTCTGCGGGCAGAGCTGCAGAGCAAAGTGGAAATTCATCCCTGACAAACTCATTTTCCAGCACTGAGTGTGAGCAGGGCCCTCCCCTGCTCCCCCAGCCCTAATGAAAAGGAACCATCGCTGGAGATGCTGCACAAGGGCCTGATTTCAGTTTGATGGACTCATTTTTAGGCCTGGTTGTCTTTGCTTGGGGTTTTTATCAGCCTCTAAAACCATGATTGGAGTTGATCTTTTTTTGGAGTGGCTGGTGGAAACCTGGGGGTTTATTTAAATTCCCTGGAAGTGCTGTGCAGAGGCACTGCCTGAGGATTTACTGGCGTTTCAGCTGCAGCTTTCCCATTTTAGATTGGAGTATCCCACATTTCCCCTGATTTTATTGAGCTCTGTTTTGCTTTAAGTAGAGCTGGGTCCAGCTGTGTTTGAGTCTGGTTTGATGCAAGTGTGTGAAATCTGGATTAAACACTGGGAATTACAAATCCTGGTGAACTGAAACATTGGGGGTTTTTTCGCAGGCAATCAGTTTTGCTGGGTTTTGGGTGGATTTAAGGTGTAAATCAAACCTGCTTGTATTGCAGGAACTGCAGCTTGTTGAAAAATGTGATCTTTGGATTTAATCAACTCAACCTAAATAACCAAGTGCAGTCAAATCATATAAAATTGAGAGGGAGAATTCAGTATTTAGGAAGAAATTCCTCCCTGGGAGGGCTGGGATGGATTTTCCAGAGAAGTTGTGGCTGCCCCTGGATCCCTGGAAGTGCCCAAGGTGTCCCTGCCCATGGAATGGGGTAAATGAGATGATCCTTAAATTCCTTCCCAACCCAAACCATTCCATGATTTCCAGAGATCAAGCACCCACCACAGCCTGATCCTCAAGTTCCTTCCTGTGGTTCAGAAATTGCTCAGGAAGGAGAGGATCTTGTTTCCTCAGCAGCTTGGGGAGGGATTTGGGGCAGCCTTCAGCTACAGGCTGGACAGCAGGAAAAAGTTTTTTATGGAACGAGTGATGAAGTTCTGGAATGTTCTGCCCGGGGAGGTGGTGCAGTCACCATCCCTGGTGTGTTTAACAAAGCCTGGATGTGGCACTGGGTGCCAGGGTTGAGTTGAGGTTTATTCAGGGCTGGGTTGGACTCCATGATCTTGAAGGTCTCTTCCAACCTGGTGATTCTGAGATTCTGTGATTTTCCTTCTTTATGCCCGGGGAGGTGGTGCAGTCACCATCCCTGGTGTGTTTAACAAAGCCTGGATGTGGCACTGGGGGCCAGGGTTGAGTTGAGGTGTTGGGGCTGGGTTGGACTCCATGATCTTGAGGGTCTCTTCCAACCTGGTGATTCTGAGATTCTGTGATTTTCCTTCTTTATCTGGATATTTGGTAGAAATTATATTTAAACATTGACTCCAAGGGGCCTGACAAGTTCTGGTACAACCCCAGGTAAGTCTGGAGGCTGCTCAAGTGGATTATTCTGTTTTCAACGATGATTATTCCATTTTTCCTGAGGATTTACCCCAGCCCAGTGACAATTCCCTGTCCCTAACCCAGCCCTGCTTCCCTCAAATGAATTATTCTGTTTTCAATGACGATTATTCCATTTTTCCCGAGGATTCACCCCAGCCCAGGGACAATTCCCTGTCCCTAACCCAACCCTGCTTCCCTCAAATGGATTATGCTGTTTTCAATAACAATGATTCCATTTTTCCCGAGGATTCACCCCAGCCCAGTGACAATTCCCTGTCCCTAACCCAACCCTGCTTCCCTCAATTGGATTATTCTCAATTATACCATTTTTCCCAAGGATTCACCCCAGCCCAGTGGCAGCTCCCTGTCCCTAACCCAGCCCTGCTTCCCTCAATTGGATTATTCTCGATTATTCCATTTTTCCTGAGGATTCACCCAGCCCAGTGGCAGCTCCCTGTCCCTAACCCAACCCTGCTTCCCTCAAATGGATTATGCTGTTTTCAATAACAATGATTCCATTTTTCCCGAGGATTCACCCCAGCCCAGTGACAATTCCCTGTCCCTAACCCAGCCCTGCTTCCCTCAATTGGATTATTCTCAAATATTCTGTTTTTCCTAAGGATTTACCCCAGCCCAGTGGCAGCTCCCTGTCCCTAACCCAGCCCTGCTTCCCTCAATTGGATTATTCTCAAATATTCTGTTTTTCCTAAGGATTTACCCCAGCCCAGTGACAATTCCCTGTCCCTAACCCATCCCTGTTCCCTTGCAGCCCTGCCCAGCCACACGTGCGGGAACCCGGGGCGGCTGCGGAACGGGGTCCAGCAAGGAACCACCTTCAGCATCGGGGACAGGGTCAGGTACAGCTGCAACCCTGGATTCTTCCTGGAGGGCCATGCCCTGCTCACCTGCCAGGCCAGCTCGGGACAAGGAGCCTCCTGGGATTTCCCTCTCCCCGTCTGCAGAGGTAATGAGATCCCCCTGGAAATGGGGTTGGAGGTGTTTGGCATGGGGGGGGTGGGGCTTGGTTTGAAAGGGTTAAAAAGCAGCCCTTAAAAAACAACCCTTAAAAACCAACTCTTACAAACCAACCCTTAAAAAACCACCCTTAAAAAACAACCTTAAAAAGAAACCCTTAAAAACCAGCCTCTAAAAAACAAAACCACCTTCAGCATCGGGGACAGGGTCAGGTACAGCTGCAACCCTGGATTCTTCCTGGAGGGCCACGCCCTGCTCACCTGCCAGGCCAGCTCGGGACAAGGAGCCTCCTGGGATTTCCCTCTCCCCGTCTGCAGAGGTAATGAGATCCCCCTGGAAATGGGGTTGGAGGTGTTTGGGCTGGGGGATGGGGCTTGGTTTGAAAGGGTTAAAAAGCAGCCCTTAAAAAACAACCCTTAAAAACCAACTCTTACAAACCAACCCTTAAAAAACCACCCTTAAAAAACAACCTTAAAAAGCAACCCTTAAAAACCAGCCTCTAAAAAACAAACCTCAAAAACCAACCTTTAAAAAACAACCTTTAAAAACAACCCTTAAAAAGCAACCCTTAAAAACCAGCCCTTAGAAATCAACCCTTAAAAACCAGCCCTTAAAAATCAACCCTTAAAAACCAATCCTTAAAAATTAACTCTTAGAAACCAATCCTTAAAAACCAGCCCTTGAAAATCGACCTTTAAAAACCAACCTTTAAATACCAACCCTTAAAAATTAACCCTTAAAAAACAACCTTTAAAAAACAACCCTTAAAAATCAACTCTTAAAAGCTAACCCTTAGAGATCAGCCCTTAAAAACCAGCCCTTAAAAATCAACCCTTAAAAACCAATCCTTAAAAATTAACCCTTAAAAACCAGCCCTTAAAAACCAGCCTTTTTAAAATCAACCCTTAAAAATTAACCCTTAAAAATTAACCCTTAAAAACCAACCCTTAAAACCCAGCCCTAAATGGGAAGGTAAACGTGGTGTGATTGATGGATTTTGGGTTGTGGTTAATGAGTTTTTTAATGGGTTCCTCGAGGCTGTTGGGCTTTGGGGGAATAATGGGAAGGTTGTGAAGGGCTTGGCGTGTTGGGAATGGGGCACAGCTGCTTTAGCTGCAGTTTCTTGGTCCCTGGACAATTAAATTTTAAAAATAAAATGAAGTGGGGGAAAAACCCAATTTTACAGGTGGCAGGACAAGGGGGATGGCTTTAAACTGAAAGAGAGTAGGTTTAGATTAAATATTAGGAGGAAATTCCTCCTTCTGAGGGGCTGGGATTGATTTCCTGGAGAAGCTGTGGCTGCCCCATCCCTGGAAATGTCCAAGGCCAGGCTGGAGCAAGCTGGGGTTGTGGAAAGTGTCCCTGCCCATGGAATGAGATAATCCCAAAGCTCCTTCCCAGCCCAACCCAATCATGATCCCATGATTATCCAGAAAATCAAGCACCTACCCAAGCCTGCAGTTTTTCCAGCTCAAACACTGGAAATGGGACTGGATTTTTTGCTTCCCAGTGCCAGATTCCCTGGCCCGTGGCACATGCCAGGGTGGTTGTGGTGCTGTGCTGCAGGGAAGGTGGATTTGTGCAGGGCAGGGATGTGCCCTTGCCTTGGGGATGCTACAGGGGAGGTAAAACAATTTCTACTGAAAACAATTCCCAACTTCCTGCCGGTTGAACTTCAAAATTCCTTTATCAGCCCGGAGAGTGCCTTGCTAATTGTGCTCCCACGGGGGCTGGGGAGTGTGTAAATACACAAATATCTGTGTTGTTCTACCAAAAACATTTGCTGCTGCTCTTGAAGTCTCTTCCCCTCGATTCCTTGTGTACTTCAGCAGAGCATCTCCTATTGATTCCTTTTATTGACTCTGCCTGTGCAATCAATCAGCCCCTGGGCCGTGGAGCTGGGGCTTCAAGTGAGCAAATATTGGTTGCTTGGGATGTTTTTAATGCTCCTTTGGATGGGTTACAAGGCACGGAGATGTTGTGCCTCTCAGTGGGGTTTTTTTGGGGCATTTCCCTGCTGGTTTGGGGCCAGGAGTGTTTGAGGGGAGGGCTCAGAGTGATTTGAGAGAGGGCTGCTTATCCCTGATGGTTTTTTATGATCAATTACGATGCTTTTCTCCAAATTAGGATGGTCTTTGTCACTTCTAGAATACTTTTAAAATTTAATTTTATTTTTTGAGTTTCATTGGAGGTGAAAATACTCACCAATTCAGGGGATGGAGGATCACTGATTCCAGCTCCTGGCCCTGCACAGACACCCCAAAATCCCACCTTGAGAGTGGTGTCCAAACATTCCTGGAGCTCTGGCAGCCTTGGGAATGTTCCCATTCCCTGGGGAGCCTGGCCAGTGCCCAACACCCTCTGGGGGAAGAACCCTGCCCTGAATCCATCCCAATATTCCATCAGGAGGAGCTGCAGCCCCTCTGAGCTCTGCCCTCAGCCTCCTCCTCTCCAGCTGAACACCCCAAGTGCCCTCAGCTGCCCCTCCTGCCCCTTCACCATTCCTGGCCCTCCTCTGGACCCTCTAAAAGGTGAAATTCCCTGAAATTCCCTGAAATTCCCCTGAGATTCCCTGAAATTCCACCTTGAGAACGGCCAAAGCAACACCTCGGTAGGAGAAAAGGGAATTCCCTGCTGGAGGGAGCAGTTCCCTCTGCTCTGACAGCGTTTCCCAGAGTCTTCTCCTTGCCCAGCTTCGTTCAGCATTTGTGGAGGAAACCCCAGGGAGGGAGGGATTAATCCTGACCCCAGCTGGTGCTGGAGCTGAGGGTTGGCATAATTTCCATTGCTGAGATCCCCTCTCCAGCTGGAGGAAAAGCCCAGCTTTGCATTTCCACCCTGAAGTGCCAAACTCGTGTTTGATTTCAACGCTGTCCTTCAGTCTGGAGTCCAGCACTGGGGCTGGTGGCACCTGAGCTGCTCCAGGGAGGAGGAAGATCCAGGGAATGGCTCCAAAGGCAGCACAAAATGTGCTTTTCAGCTGCTCTGGTGGAGCTGTGCCTGCAGCTGAGTTTGCATCCCTCTACATTTTTGATTCCTTGTGAAGGCTGAGTTAGAACAGAGGCTGGACAGAGCTAAAGAATAAAGCAGGGATTTATTAAAAGGATCTCCTCAATGGATCCACCGTGGGCAGCACAAGAGCCCAGCCAGGGCTTCACCCAAGATGAACCAAAATGGTCCCAAAAATGGATGACTGGTCATAAGGTCTCTCACTTTTATAAGTTCTGCTTCATTTGCATATTGGAGTTAATTGCCCAATTACGGCTTTAGGTTATGAAGTCCCATCCCTCTTGTTTTTCTCTCTTCAGTCCATGTTGTTTGTGCTCTTGGGCCTAAGATTTGGGTAGTTCTCCTTGGTGCCCAGCTGGAGCAGGAATTGTTTTGTCTCCCTGCTCTGTGCAGAGAGCTCACCATCCCCTGATATGAAGCTCAGAAGTGCACACTAAAGCAGCACAGAACCTGAAAAACACAAAACCTAAAACCTGAGGCATCACCTCCATCCTTAAGAGTGGCAGTGACCCTCCCTGCCCCAAGCTCTGGGGTTTGCCTGGGACTTTGGGCTGGACTTTGGGCACCCCAGGGCTCACCCCTTGCCTCTGTTGCAGCCGACGACGCGTGCGGAGGGACCCTGCGGGGCCAGAGCGGGATCATCTCCAGCCCTCACTTCCCCCTGGAGTATGGCAACAATGCAGACTGCACCTGGACCATCCTGGCCGAGCCTGGGGACACCATTGCCCTGGTTTTCATGGATTTTCAGCTGGAGGATGGATATGATGTCCTGGAAGTTGCTGGCACGGAGGGATCCTCGCTCTGGTAGGTTCCTGCTGTGTTCATTCCTTGTAGGGGACTCGTGGTTTGTGTGGGCAGAGCCAAACTTCACAGGGTGCTCAGAGGGAGCAGTTTGGGCCTGAAGGAGGAGAAATTGCCAATTATTCCCTGTGGCTTCCTTCTGGAACTTGGGGTTTGCTTGGCAAACTGTGCAGTGAGCATTGGCTGCTCTGAGTCCTGCTGTCTGCAATGAGGGTCGTGGTGTGGATGGGTAGAAGAAGAAAGATTAAAAAAAAACCCAAACAAAATCACCCAACCTCTGAGAACCCCTCAAACCCTGCCACACTCAAGCCTTGGTTTTGTTAAATGTTCTGATGATTGCTAAACCCATTGGTGTTGAGGAACTTGTGGAAATGTTTCACCAGATCCACTTGCCCCTGGGACAGGAGACAGAATTCCAACCCCCCCTCATCCCAGGGGCTGCCTGGAAAATGCTCTCAGAAATATTGCTTTGATCTGGGGTAAAAGCCAATATTTTCAATATTCAGAAGCCACCCCAGTGTTCTGAAGGCAGGAGAAATAAGGAACTGCAGAGGGAATTCGATGTGTTCCTCCTGTTGGTTTTATAGCAAAGGACACAGTGATCAACTGCACTCTGCAAATGGTTAAAAGTCCTGACTGGCAGCAAGTGGAAGGTCCTGGAAGTTGGATTTAAACCCAACATCCCTCTGGAAGGGAAGAATGAAGCTTTTGAAATAATCAGGTGTTGCCTGGGATTATCAGCAGCGAGTTAAATTGTGATTATTTGTGAGGATCCTGTTGCAAATCCCATTTATTTGAGTGATTTATCCTGGCTGGCAATTCTGAGGGAGCAGGATTGGAGTGTTTAGGCTGTATTGATGGGAGGGAAGTTGCCATTTACCACGTCCCAATTGTTTACTGTTCTCAGGCCCCCTTGGAAAATTAGATGTTGCTGTTTGATGAAAAAAAGCCCGGGCTGGTTTTATTAGAATGCATTAATATTTTAGGGCACTGTTGGTTCGTAGGCACTCAGCTGTGCTGGCTGGGAAGATGGATGGAGCTGGTTAAAAAACATTATTCAGCCTGGAGGTGTTGCCAAAGCAGAGCTGTGTCTTGTCATGTCAAAAATAAAACAAAGCCTGGCAGAGGGAACCTGCTGGAAAAAAAAAAATAAAATTAATAAACTCCTTGTAAATACAGCAGGGAAAAAAACTTTAAATTGTGGGGAATGTAAGCCCGGCTTTGAGCTGAGCCTGCAGTGCACACACAGTCCTTAAAACTGAGATTAAAGCCTGGTTTAAGTTTTACAGGTGTCACTCTGGAGCTCGTTGGAGGGAGAAATGATGGATTTGCATCCCTGCTCCCCCTCCAGGTGTGCATGTGCTGCATCCCTGGGGCTGCCTTTCCTCCCAGCACATTCCCTGGATGAGCTCAGCCCTTTTTGGGATCCCCTGGCCCCAGCAGCAGGAATTCCCCCCGGCAGCAGCTGTTCCTGCTTGGTGTGGTGCATCCCTGAATTTCCCATCCCTGAATTTCCCATCCCTGAATTCTACATCCCTGAATTTCCCATCCCCGAATTCCACATCCACAAATTTCACATCCACAAATTTCCCATCCCTGAATTTCCCATCCTCGAAATTCACATCCCTGCACTTCACATCCCTAAATTTCACATCCCCAAATTCCACATCCCCCAAATTTCACATCTCTGAATTCCACATCCACAGATTTCCCATCCCTGAATTTCACATCCCCAAATTCCACATCCCCCAGATTTCCCATCCCCGAATTTCCCATCCCTGAATTTCACATCCCTGAATTCTACATCCTCAAATTTCCCATCCCTGTATTTCCCATCCCCGAATTCCACATCCACAAATTCCACATCCACAAATTTCCCATCCCTGAATTTCCCATCCCTGAATTCCACATCCCTCCCACAGCCTGGAGAATCCTGAGCTGGGTTTCCTTTGCTCCCCAACCTGTTGGATGTGAATCCTGCAGGAAGAATTCCAAGGGAGCTGTTTGAGACAGATTAATAAAATCACTTTTACAGCTCTTTCAGCTGCTCCCACGGCTCTGCCAGGGGACCTTGGGCCCAGATTGCCTTGGGAGGTGAGAAATAAAATCCTGCTGAGCTGAGCAGGGAGCAGGAGGGGGAAGGAGCAGGGTGGGATGAGCCTGTGGCGTCAGGAAGGGCCAGGTGGGCTCTCCAGGCTGGGAGGTGGAATGGGAAGCACGGCAGGAGATGATGCCCTGTTCTCCTCTGGGCCATCCAGGTGTGACCTTGCCCTGTCCCCAGGGTGTGCAATGCACCTGATCCCGTGGGAACAGAGGATCTTGGAGGTCCTTCCAGTCCAGTCCACTCTGGGCTTCTCTGGCATCCTCACCCCCAGACTTCTTCTTCTTCTTCTTCTCTTCCATCCATGGGGTTCCTTTCCCTTCTCTTGTCCCTGGCAGATCTGGCAGCATCAGTGCAATTCCTCCCTCTAAATCCTGGAAAAGAAGAAAATCCCCCAGAGCAGCTCAGGTCCCTCCAGGGCTTTGTGTCAGGACCTGCTGGAGCTGGGAATTCCCAGTGCTGAGGCTGTTGGGAATTGCTGCTGATTGTTCCTGGTTTGTGGCACCTGCTCAGAGCTCCACACCCCAAAACCCATCAGACTGAGCACCCAGAACACCCCAAAATATGTCTCTGATCTGTCTGGGGTGTTCTGGAGCTTCAGGAGATGTTTCTGATTGGAAAATTTAGGTGGCAAATTTACTTTTAGGATGAAATTTACTTTTAGCTTCAATAACGAGGCTTTCCAGATCTTTTCTATCCATGGTGTGTTTTTTTGGCTGGGTGGGAGGGACTGGGATTTTCACTGGGAATTGTGCTGCTGTTGCTGCTTTATCCTGGTGTCGTGGGCTTCAGATCACAAAATGCTCTGAGCCTTTTTGGGTTTATTTTAGGAAAGTTGCATCAGCTGTCACATTGCCCCAATGCCTCCCACTCCTTGAGCCTTCCCTTGTCATTCCCCCTGGGATCCAGCTTCTCCTCCTTGGTTTTCTGTTGATAGTCCCATGCTGAGGGAATGTGGTGGGAGAAGCAAGGCTGCAAGTGAGGAACGGCCAAATCCAGGGAGTTTATTCCTGTCTGAGTTCAGTTCCTCCCCCTCAGTGCCTCGTCTTCCTTTTGCCTCTCCAACCTTGGCGCTGCATTTTCCTCCCTTGCACAAAATCTTTTCTTCTCCTCTGGTTTTTTTCGCTTCATTTCTGTAGAATTCCTTTTGGCTTCACCCCGTGATTCCCTGGAAAAGGAACCTGCCCCAACACGTGCATGTGAATCATTGCACTCACTTCCAGCACTGCTGTGCCAGATGTGAAGGCAACACAGGCTCCAGATGTTGGGCAGTGGGTGAAAACAAAAGTGCCCGTGCACCAGGTGAGCCTGGGAGAACCAAGAACCTTGGAATTCCAGGTTCCTCTGGTTGATTTTAGGGTTTTTTTCCTGGAGCTGAGCTCAGGGAACCCTTGAGGCCAACAGCCCTTCCTGGAGGAACATTTCTGAAATTCTCTTCTTTCCTGAGACCCCTTGGAGCCATCAGCCCTTTCTGGAGCAGCATTCCTGAAATTCTCTTCTTTCCTGAGACCCCTTGGAGCCATCAGCCCTTCCTGGAGCAGCATTCCTGAAATTCCCTCATTTCCATGTTCTCTGATTTCCCTATTTGGGAAGACTTTGGGGGAAGATTTTTGCAGGAGCAGGGTTTTTTTCCTGGAGCTGAGCTCAGGGGAACCCTTGAGGCCATCAGCCCTTCCTGGAGGAACATTTCTGAAATTCTCTTCTTTCCTGAGACCCCTTGGAGCCATCAGCCCTTCCTGGAGGAGCATTTCTGAAATTCTCTTCTTTCCTGAGACCCCTTGGATCCATCAGCCCTTTCTGGAGGAACATTTCTGAAATTCTCTTCTTTCCTGAGACCCCTTGGAGCCATCAGCCCTTTCTGGAGCAGCATTCCTGAAATTCTCTTCTTTCCTGAGACCCCTTGGAGCCATCAGCCCTTCCTGGAGCAGCATTCCTGAAATTCCCTCATTTCCATGTTCTCTGATTTCCCTATTTGGGAAGACTTTGGGGGAAGATTTTTGCAGGAGCCATCAGCATTTCAGCAGCTCCACTCAACTTCCTTTTCCCATCCCTACGTGCAGCTGACCCTTCCCTCCCCAGCACCTGAATCTGTCTCCTAAGTGGCTCCCAAAAGTCATTAAAGCTCTGGGATGCTCCGAGATTCCCTCATCCCGTCCCCTCTCTCTGCACACACCTTGTGCTCTCAGAGCTGCAGGTCCTGGAGGTCACAGCTTCACATGGAGCTGCTGATGGGGTGGTGAAAAGCTCCTCAGTGTGAGCTCCTAATGAACCAACCCCTTCTCTTTATATCAAAGCAGCTTCTGATCCCGCCGTGGTGGCCTCGGAGCTTTCAGCTCCCGGTTTTCATCTCGGAGCTGCCTGTGAAGTCCGTGCAAGGGCTCTGGCTCCAGAGGCAGGATTTTGTGCTTTGGGATGTGTTCCTGCTCCCTGTGCATCTTTCTACAGGATCCTACAGGCTTTTCCCAGAGGATGGTCCCTCTCTGCCCCCTGTGCCTCCCCAGCAGCTGCTGTTCCTTGCAGGGATTCTGAAAAGCAGATTGCTTCCCAATGGTTCTCATCTCACACTTGCCACTCTCTGGCAGAATTTTTCCAGGCTCTAATTGATTTTATTTGCGAGTTGACAAGAATTATCCTGCCCTGGGCGTGCACGAGGCTGGAGCTGGGAAGGTTTTTGTGTGCCTTGAAAGAAATTCTTTCATCACCACTTAAAACCCAGAAAAATGGGGAAAGTTTCCTTTCCCTGTGCAATGATTGGAGCTTCCGTATTACAAGAACTCCTGGATGCTTTATCTGTAATTTTCAGATGTTTTTCTTCCATAGGAAGTGTTTTCCATAGGACTGGGAAACGTGGATGAAGTGGCTTTGGAAATGTCAGTTACATCTTCTTTGGAATCTGCAAAAT